GCCGGGTGGAATCGTTAGTAATGTGTATAAAGTATCATCAAAAATTGTTATGTGCGGTTTTTTTTTCTATATAAATGGCAAATAATCTGACGTCCTCACTGATGGAAAGTGGTAACCATTGATTATAGACAAGAACAGTATCGCGGGCATCGCAGATACTTCCTGACGCTTATACCCTTCATGCGGGGTGGGGGGAAGGGATTATTAGTAATTATTATATAAGTAAGGATTATCAGGTCGACCTTCACGTGTTCCCTTCTGGAAACCATCGTGCTGAATTCCAGGTGTATTCATCACGACGGGCTAACCGACTGCCAGTATATACCGTTAGCGTAGGCGGGGTTACCATACCATTATCATCCATTCATTAAAAAAAAAAGATATTTATCCTTCAAGCAACACTACAGTACTCAGGAATGGCGTCCATTTCTGAGGTCTGTGGTGGTTTCTTTAATTGATGAAAATAGAACGGTAAGTTCGCCTGTGCATGATACTCATGATACCCCCCACCGCATTGTCATTCCTGAGGACTCAGGTATTATTTCTCTGTAGCCTGTAAATTCACTGCCATATCCCACTCTTCAAACCGAAACACAATGCATGCACATGCCATGCAAAAACAACTACGGTACAAACACGAATATCTCGAAAACACGAATATATTGGTCTTATTAAGACTTCTCGTTTCGATTATTTCTAAAAATCTTTTTTTTTTCTATCATAGTTTAGTTTCCATTTTATTTTATTAATAAGGTCTATATGCTTTCATAACAACTATTTCATTCTAACCATCTGGACTAGTGGCGGTCCTCCACCGTGCGTTTTTCAAGACACTTTCTCCCACTCACAACCACTCTTTGGAATCAACTTCCAGCAGCAGTATTTCCGAACCGATACGACAACATAACCTTCAAGAAAAGAGCATATTCCTTTTTAAAAGGCCGGCAGCACACCTGCAATGCCGTAGGTGTTGTGGGTGACCATGGGCGGCGGTAGTCACTTACCATCAGGTGAGCTGCATGCTCGTTTGCCCTCGGTGTTGTAAAAATAAAAAAACAACTAGTACTACAAAGTGCACCACTTTCATTCCATGCGCGGGAACACGGCGAATGCTGAATCAGTCGTAACACAAAGTTGTGATTTCATATTACAAAATAACCGTACACTTGAGTCGGATCGTGGGAAATCTTCTTAGTAATCATATTTATCATCATATTTCGCAACTTAGTTCATTATTTATTGCATTTGTGAATGAATATTACGTTCTATGCAGAAATGCAGGAAACATTTATATGTGAATGAACTAGATATGTACTTATATGTTTTGTAACCTAGATCCGGCTCGTTATAACGTATTTTTTTTAATGGCTGATAATGGAATGGTAACCTCACCCGCGCTATCGGTATACACCGGCGGGGCACCAGTGAAGGATGATAGGTGAGGATGAAGTAGGTCAGTTAGCCAGCAGTTAGAAAAGGATTGTTAGTAATGGAGACTGAGATCCCATTGCTAGCAATATACTCAACCAGGTCGACCCCCTCGCGGTTCTCCTTGGAAACTATTATGGTTAATTCCTGATGAATTCATCATAATGGGCTAACTGGCCTGTATACCATTTTCACTCATAAAAAAAATGTTAAAAGCATTCTCTCCCAGTCAACTGTAAGGAACTGTCAGAATACTCAAATGCGGTACTAGTATTAATTGATATAAATACATACTATATATATATATATATATATATATATATATATATATATATATATATATATATATATATATATATATATATATATATATATGTCGTATGATCCTGGTATAGAATAGGCCACGTCTTTCCCGTGGGTGTAGTAAGAGGCGACTAAGAGAGAGCGGGGGATGGGCAGCAGCGTCCCTCTAAAATATCTCCAAAGCCTAACTAACTGCGGTTGCCAATCTGCCTGTCAAACATGGTAACTACTCGCAAAGCTCCCAAAGGAAAGGTATAAACAGTTAAAGGCTGATATGATGATATATACAAGATATACATGTCTGGTCCCGGCATAGAATGGGCCATCCCTTCCTTTCCTGCCAAGCCTGCCAAGCGTGGCAACTACCGGCAAAACCCTTCAATAGGGGGAGGCCTATATTCAGCAGTGGACAGACGGATGATATGGTGATAAAATATTTTTAATTAGTATAGAAATACCTTTATTATGCCATAATATAGTAAAAGAAACACTGACTAGGCAATATTTTTGATGTGGGCATCGAACCCGTGACCCTTATGTTATTGAGTCGTAGGTAAATAAGCGGAACATGATTTTGATGAGTCCATATTTATTAAAATTGTCATATTAGGTAAAAACAAATATAATAATAAATTAAAAAATTATACAAACCAAAATAGAAGCGGTGTACTTTTGGTGCTCTGTCTACCCTACGTAAAGGATTTGGTGTGAAGATATGTAGGTAGTAAGTAAGTAAAATTAAGGCTGAAATAATATTTACTTCATTTACTTACTAACTATAAGTAACATTGTGCTGGCATGGATTAATATATAAAATATACTATGTGTTAAAATGTAATCTATCCGTGTACCAAATTTCATTCAAATCTATTCAGTCTTAAGTAACAATAGAGGGACTTTATCAGAAGGAGACTTGGTACAAATGTTTTTTACTTGGACACTTCTGTCAAGCAGTTGTGTTTGCACGGCTGTGTTTTGGTTTGACGGGTGGGATATGGTAGTGAATTTACAGAGTACAGAGGAATAACACCTGAGACCTCAGGAATGGCAATGCATGGGGGGTATCATGGGCGAAACAGTATACTCTGTTATATCCATGGTACTGCTCATGTCTATAGGCGACGGTTACCACTTTCCATCAGGTGGATCGTCAGCAAATTCACGTGTACGAAGTCACGGGTGAAAGCTAGTCTGATTATAAGCTGCCGCAAATTGTGAAGATAATTTATAAGTAATCGTTACTGGTGCGTTGGTTTGTATGAGTCGTATGCATGTTGTGTACAATTACCCCCGTGTCAAGTAACTATACTTGGAAACAGCGACGTGGGAACAAAACATACCGCGCGATTGCTAACTGCGACGCCGCCCGCGCTGGCGGTGCTGGAAGGCGGCGGTAAACCGCTTCAGTCATGGCGACTTTAGATTTTTTTTATGCGACAATGCCCTTGTTGTTTTCATTATTCTTTAAATTTAGAAGACATGGTTTTTTATGCAACTTAGAATGGTAAACAAGCTGACGGCCCACTTGATGGAAAGTGGTAACCGTCGCCTATAGACATGGGCTGTACCGTGGACATAACAGAGTATACTGTTTCGCCTATGATACCCTCCATGCGTTGCCTTCCTGAAGACTCAGGTGTTATTCCTCTGTATCGTGTAAATTCACTGTCATATCACACTGTCACATGTCACGGAAAGGGATTGTTAGTAATGGGGTCTAACAGTTCCATTGCAATAGCATAGCAATGTACCCTGTCAGGTCGACCTCCGTGCGGTTCCCCCTGGAAACCATCGTGGTTAATTCTCACGGAATTAACCACGATGTTTTCAACCTCACCTATCACCTCTCACTGGTGCCCCGCCAGCGTATACCAATAGCGCTGGCGGGGTTACCTTTCCATTATCATCCATTAAAAAAATATAATATTAATAGCATGGGTAGATTTTTAGTTTTACGTTTTTTTTTTTTTTTATACAACTTAGAATGGCAAACAAGCTGACGGCCCACCTGATGGAAAGTGGTAACCGTCGCCTATAGACATGAGCAGTACCATGGACATAATAGAGTATACTGTTTCGCCCATGATACCCCCCATGCGTTGCCACTCCTGAGGACTCAGGTGTTTACGTACAGCTATCACTAACTAACTAAAGTTCATACATACACACAGGATGCATTGTATAATAATGAAAAACAACAGCGGTTCGATTCAAAGACTTTGATGGAGCAAAATTTAAATGAAAAAAAAAAACACTGCTTTCCAAAATATTGCGTTTGAACTCTTTGTGGTCAATACTGTACATTATTTATTTATAATTTGTATTTATACAGAAACTAGTTTTCACTCGCGACTTTGTCCGCGTACCCGGGATATTTACTGATCTGGATAAAACATTGCATTAATCCTTTTCCATTCCAATATACCAAATTTCATAGTGAACGGGGGGAAAGGGGCTGTTAGTAATGGGGGTTAACAACTCTATTAATAGCAATATACCTTATCAGGTCGACCTCCTCGTGGTTCCCCTTGAAAACCATCGTGATGCATTGGTAAATTTGTCACGATGGGCTAACTGATCTGCTTCATCTTCACTTATCATTCCTCATTGGTGCCCCGCCAGTGTATACCGATAGCGCAGGCGGGAATACAATTCCATTATCATCCATTAAAAAAAAAACAGTTTGCAATGTAAGGTACATCAGGTCGACTTCCACGCGGTTCCCCCTGGAAACCATCGTTGTTAATTCCCGTGGAATCCCTCACTATTTGCTAACTGATCTGCTTTCATCCTCACCTATCATCTCTCATTGGTGGGGCTTGCGTATACCGATAGCACAGGGTTGACCATTCCATTATCACCTATTAAAAAAAATCATAGTGATTGATTAAGCCGTTAAGCCGCTGTAAGGTAACAAACAAACTCATTTTCACATATATAATATTAGTAAATATTCCACATTCGATATTTTTAAGGTAAAATGTAAATATTAACTTATTTAAATTTTATCATTGGATGAAAACTTTAGAGTGGACGTGGTAGCTTTAAATATTAAATTAAAAAAAAAAAATTGTGAACTGTTGACCTCATAGGAAACCGGTTCGCGAAAAGGCGGTCCTTTGCGCGAAACGAGTAAGTTGAAAAATAAAAATTTTTGTAACGCTACACCCGGCAACGAACTCCGCCCATCTTCTCTCTCCCTTACGCAGTTTGTCTCGCTCGCGTCGTTTGAAATGAGAACCATCTATTGTTATTTGACCCCATGTCTCTCTCGAGTGAGGGTGTGTCGGATTTTTAAATATACGTGTTTTTTTTTTTAAATATTCGTTTGATGACATACGAGAATAGTGATTTTAATGTGATTTAAGTGTTATTTTAGTTGATGAAACTTTCATGTTTTAGGTAAGTTTTATTATAATACGAAATATTTTATAAAATTTTTAAATTAATCTATTTGGAAAATAATATTTTTCCGTTCAAATTATTATTTTTAAGCCATAAATATATTTATTATTATTTTACTTATTCATAGATATAATATTGATTCCGATAAATTATTCTTATTGTCTATCAGTAATTTAATTCTATTTAACTGAATTAATGCTTAATTTCATTAAAAACACAAGGAGATTTTGTTTTATATGTATATATAATGACTAGGTATATATTGCGGTTTTGCCGTCAATTTTATTTCCGTGAAAATCCTGGAAAATACTCCCGAAAACAATGTTTACGTGACATAAGGAATCTTTAATAAAAATTGCATGCTTTCAAATGAGCCATTTAGGATGTGCGTTATCGATCGATCACTTTATGAGGATAAATCTTTATATTTTTACTAGCTGACTCGGTAAACGTTGTTTTACCATATACATTATTTCTAGAACTATACATGAAAATATATCGTACTACAATTATTATATTCGATTGTCATCATGCAACCATATTGCGGAATATAAAAATTGAGATTAAACAACATGGGTTGATCGTAAAAGCGTGAAAATTTGAATTTATATGTATTTTTCAATGCTAAATCATAATAAAATAAAAATGGAAAAATTTGTCAAAACAATAAAAATTTTTTTCTTTGGGGAGGGTCACCCTTATCATTGAGGGGTGTGAAAAATAGATGTTGGCCGATTCTCAGACCTACCCAATATGCGCACAAAATTTCATAAAAATCGGTAAAGCCGTTTCGGAGGAGTTTGATAACAAATACCGCGACACGAGAATTTTATATATTAGATTATAAATGGATAAAATATTTAATATAAAAAGATAGGTCAATACTTTTAGGGCTAGTCACATTAAACAATTGACTTGAATGAGCTTTAATCCTATAGTACTTTGAATTTATGAAAAAAAAAATTGTAAGTCCAATTTTTAGTATTCTGAATTATCTAAATCTGCCTAAAATTGAGCTAGTTTAAAAGTAATATGTTTTTTAAATATATCTCATACGTCGCTTTCTAAATAAGTCCGACCTAATTGGGTCTAACACCTTAATAGTGGGGGGAAAGGGATTGTTAGTTATGGGGTCTAATAGTCCCATTACTGGCAATATACCCTCTCAGGTTGACCTCCACGCGGTTCCCCCTGGAAACCAACGTGTTTAATTCTTGTCGACTTCATCATGGTGGGCCAACTGACCTGCATTCATTGTCACCTATCATCTTCCACTGGTGCCTCGTTGGTGTGTACCAATAGCGCGGGCGGGATTACCAATCCATTTTTACCCATAAAAAAAAAAACACCTTAATTGTGGAGAAGAAGGGGTTGTTAGTAATGGGGATTAGTAGCTCCATTGCTAGCAATTTACTATATCAGGTCGACCTCCTCATGGTTCTCCCTAGAAACCATTGTGATTGATTTATTGTTAGAATCGTTACGGTTGACTAACTAACCTGCTTCATCCTCACCTATCATCCTTCACTGGTGCCTCGCCGGTGTATACCGATAACGCGGGCGGGGTTACCATTCCATTATCATTCATTAAAAAAAAAGCACCTTAATAGTGTGGTGTAATGAATTTTGAACGAATTGTTTATCAAATTATTTGTTTATAACGTAAGCATTGCTCTGTATCGCATCGTTTAATTGACGTTGCAATACATCATGGTATAAACTTTGAAGATGTTATTGTATTTTGTTTTTTTTTTGATGGGTGAAAATGGTATGGTAACCCCGCCTGCGCTAACAGGATACGCTGGCGGAGCACTAGTGAAGGGTGATAGATGAGAATGAAAACAGGCCAGTTAGCCCATCATGATGAATTCATCTGGAATTAACAGTGATAGTTTCCAGGGAGAACCGCGAGGAGGTCGACCTGGTTGGGTATATTGCTAGCAATGGGATTCTCAGTCTCCATTACTAACAAATCCTTTCCTCCAATGTTATTGTATTAGACTTTTGATACAACATATTATAGAATGGCAAACAAGCTGACGGCCCACCTGATGGAAAGCGGTAACCGTCGCCTATAGACATGAACAGTATTTTAATATAATAAACATATCGTCATAGTCGTAGAATACTGACGGATCTGACAAAGATTGTATATAAAGATCCGTCAGTATTCTACGACTATGACGATATATAATTTTTTTTTCTAATATCTATAATTTCTTTTCCTATTGTCCTATGGGAGGGCGAGAGATGGGCAGCAGCGATCCTTTTAAAACATCTCTAAAAGCCTAACTGCGGTTGCCAACTCGCCTGCCAAGCGTGGCAACTATTGGCAAAACTCTACCTTATGGGGAAGTCTTATGTCCAGCAGTGGACAGCTAACGGCTGAAATAATAATTGTCCTATGCCTCGCTACTTCTGTATTTTTCGTATAAAATACATATAATGCTGTCGACTGCTTGGTTTCTACATCTTTTATTTTCTTTATTACAAACAAAACCTTACTGTTTAAGTAAATAAGCAAATTTTGGTTTGTTTTCGCATTGTATGTCCGGCGTATTACTCGCGTCATCCGATACTTTGTTATTTTGCGAAACGGCGATTTTTAAATACTAAATATTAGCAAACTATCTTTACACACGTTCTTTTTTTTATACAACTTAGAATAGCAAACAAGCTGACGACCCACCTGATGGAAAGTGGTAACGGTCGCCTATAGACATGAGCAGTACCATGGACATAACAGAGTGTACTGTTTCGCTCATGATACCCCCCATGCGTTGCCATTCCTGAGGACTCAGATGTTATTCCTTTGTAACCTGTAAACGCACTATCATATCCCACCCTTCAAACCGAAACACAGCCATGCAAACACGACTGCTTTACGGTTGAAACACGAATCGGACAGAGGTGTCCAAGCAAACAGTACAAAGTCTCCCTCTGGTCTTTAAAAGATCCTGTTAGTTTTTATTAAGTATATTTTTTTTTAATTAAGGTTTGATGCGCCAAAATCATTGGATACCCCGTCGCATTTATCTAATATCGACTTTACTGTCTTTAAAAAAAAACTTTCATGCTCACATTTATACTTTATCTAAACAGTGTGAATCGTGCTGATTTCCTGGTGTATTCATCACGATGGATTAACTGACCTGCCTTTTCAATTTCACCTATCATCCCTCACTGGTGCTCCGCAAGCGTATACCGTTAGCGCAGGCGGGGTTACCATTCCATTATCATCCATTTATTAAAATAAATATTAATATTTATTTTCAAGATCTCTTTGCCTACTAAGAATAAATACTAAAATAAGTTTTAAATAAGTTCAGTTGTGTTTGCATGGCTGCGTTTCGGTTTGAAGGGTGGGATATGGCGTGAATTTACAGAGTACAGAGGAATAAACACCTGAGACCTCAGGAATGGCAACGCATGGGGGGTATCATGGGCGAATCAGTATACTCTGTTATGTCCATGGTACTGCATATATCTATAGGCGACGGTTACCACTTTCTATCAGGTGGGCCGTCAGCTTGTTTGCCATTGAGTTGTATAAAAAAAAAGTTGTATAAGTTTCATGCATCAAAATATTGAATTTGACACTGTAGGTATTTCGGCTTTCCTTTTTTTTTTAGCAAAAATCATTATACGCCTGTACTGTTAAAAGTGCTGTTGTCAAACTCATATAGTAAGTATACAATTACATTTCTCATGTAACATAATATAAAATAAATATTATGTAGGTAATAATTGTATTGCTAGTTGGCACAAATAGTGATTAATGTAAAAGAAATAAACTATCTATTATATACATACATACCTTACATCTAAGTACTATAAATAAATATTTTGTAAATAAATTATTATTTCTTATTAGTATTAAAATTTCTAGAAAATTCACATCTCCCCTCTTAAGGAGAGGAGATGGCAAACTAACCCCCGGCAGAAGCACAGTCGGCCGGGGTTGAGGGCCCCAGGGAGAGAACCGGCGTACAATGCGAGCAGAATCTAAGAGCACTGCTTTCTGCATTTTTCTCGGGAGTGAGCCGCCTCGGAATCCCAACCGTCTGAGATGTTGCTCCAGACTGGTTGGGATAAGACCGTTCAACGACAAAATGATTGGAATGATTTCGGTGGATGTCACCCCCCACATTTTGGTCACCTCGTGAGCCAGGTCGAGATATTTTCTCTTTTTCTCGGTTTCGGCTTTCACGAGGTTCTCGTCATGCGGTATGGTGACATCCACCAAAAACACCCTCGAGAGTGCCCGATCCATCACCACGATATCAGGTTTGTTCGCAAGAACTGTCCTGTCCGTGATGATGGATCAGTCCCAGTAGAGCCTGACGCTGTCGCTTTCGAGGACCGACTGGGGCTCGTACTTATAGTACGGCAACCTCTTATTCGCGAGGCCGTACTTCAGAGCTAGCTCTTGATGGAGTATTTTGGCTACCTGGTTGTGTCTGTGCTCAGTTATTATTATTATTATTAAACATTAATAACAAGATCGTAAAAATTACTTACTAGTTAATTCACTATATAATATCACAAAAACTTTTTATCAGAGGGAGACTTTGTACAAAACTCGTTTGCTTGGGCACCTCTGTTCCATTCGTGTTTCTACCGTGAAACGGTTATGTTTGCATGGCTGTTTCGGTTTAAAGGATAGGATATGGCACTGAATTTACAGAATACAAAGGAGTAACACCTGAGTTCTCAGGAATGGCAATGCATGGGGGGTATCATGGGCGAAACAGTATACTCTGTTATGTCCATGGTACTGCTCATGTCTATAGGCGACGGTTATCACTTTCCATTAGGTGGATCGTCAGCTTGTTTGCCATTCTAAATTGTATAAAAAAAAAGAATAAGGGAGATTTACTTTCTTATGTTTATTAATTTAAAATAACTAGGTACGTGCAGTGATGTAAATCACGTACTATCTAGATGGAGAATAAAGTTGTAAGAAACGTCATAGAACGGTTAAATGTTTTTTTTAAAGACAAAAATAAATAGTGCGCTTTGTTCTATAAAATACTATTATTAATATTACTTTTTAATAATAATTTGTTTGATATTTCTATTCATATACTGACTGACGAATCAAATTAGATTTTATACTCGTAGATGGAGCATCGAAGCCTCAAAAACGGGTCAACTTTTTGTCAGCTAATTGTCAAATTAGCTGACTTGTTTTTCATCAGTGCTCTATATACTTACATACATAATGTATCGCGACGTATCTAAATTTTTTTTTAATGGATGATAGTGGAATGGTAACCCCGCCTGTGCTATCGGTATACACTGACGGGGCACCAGTGAGGGATGACAGGTGAGAATGAAGCAGGTCAGTTAACCCATCCTGACAAATTCAACAACGAATCAATCATGATGGTTTCCAGGGGGAACCGCGTGGAGGTCGATCTTATAGGGTTTATTGCTAGCAATGATGTTGCTAATCCCCATTACTAACAATCCCTTCTCCCCCCACGTATCTATATTTAATTATTTAATAAATAGAGTTTTTACGCATTAAGAAGACGAGGAAATTATAAAACGAAATAAATATAGAAATTGTAAAGGAAACACTGATAATTATTTATCACGCAAATTTGTATGAAAAAGTTGACCCGTTTTTCACTCTCTCAGGAGACACTCTATCTAAGCAATTAAGCTAATAAATAAACTTCTCTATTTGCCCCATGTTCGACAGGTAGAGAAAGCCTTTAGGTGTTATGTCTATATTATTTACCTTTATTATGTATGTATAAGTTAAATAAATAAACTAAATACACTGCACGATTTATAATACAAATTCACAAATACAATAATAAAAAGTTGAGCAGGTTTGGCTATTTTTCTGAAGCGTTTGTAAAGAGACACGCTCTATCTATATGTAATTGTTCTTTATACCACGAAGGGGGTAAACAAGCATACAGCCAGTTTAATGGTAAACAGTCACTGTAGTCTACGGACGTCTGTAGCTCTAGAGATTTTTTTAATAGATGATAATGGAACGGTAACGGCAAAGAAAAGGCAGGTCAGTTAGCCCATCGTGATGAATACACATGGAATTCAGCACGATGATTTCCAGAGGAGACCACGTGGAGGTCAACCTGTCGAGGTATATTGCTAACAATGGAACTAATAGCCCGCATTACTAACAACTCCTCTCCCTCCCCCGTAACACTAAGGGTTTAAGGTGCACGTTGCTAATCATGAAGAAGCCTTAATACACCCTTTTTGAAGAACCTTATACTCTCTATGGAAAACCTCGGATTAATTCAATAATTAATTGAATTAATCCAATTGATGGTGACAGTGATGTCGTAATGGTTAAATTTTTGTTCGCAGATTCAAAATTTAGTTAATCGTTTGACTATAAGGCTTTGTAATGAAATCGACGGCTATGGAGACGTGTTCCGATCGTCTGAGCCCATCGAGTGACTCGACCAGTGAGTCAGAGACCTCGTTACCACCGTTTCCGTACGACAATCAAAATGCCAACTTCTACAATCAGGATATAAACGACAAACAATATTTCTCTTGTAAACAAAAGTCACCAAGAAACGAAGAGCGTAACACGAAAGATGTTTATTTACAAGAAAGCAACAAATTATTCGATAATTACTTATCGCCACAAAGAAATAAAAAATATTTGAATTTCGAAATCAAGTTGTCGCAGAACGATAACTTTTTTAATCAAATAGAAACAGACGATAGGACAATGAGAACGAACTATTTCGAGGTACCCATAGTTGGCGGGAAAAATTGTATTCAAAATGAGAATAATCCTAATATGGCGGATGTCAAAATTTCCAATCAGCAGGTTGGATTCGATAATTCGAATGGCGACAGAGATAGAGTTACACAGTCTTATTTTAGTGAAAATGATAATGGAAATATGCGGCGTTGTTTAAATTTCAATTCCGAACAAGTGCAATGTGTATGCGAGGCTTTGCAGCAGAAGGGCGATATAGAGAAATTGGCAGCTTTTTTGTGGAGTTTGCCACCCAGTGAGTTATTGCGCGGGAATGAGACAGTGTTAAGGTATGTTTAGAATTCGCTATTGCCATAGGTAATGTGTATGATTATGTTTTTTTTTTATCACAATTGTAGTCTCTGAATGCTTGTACCACTAGGGGTATCACGAGAGTGAAATTTAATAATAATCATGTTGTAATGTAGGGAAAATCAGGGGCCAATTTATCTTTCAATCAAACCTATCAGTAATCTGTTTTACTTGGAAAAAACGAAATACACTTAATGTAATTTTTTTAGCGTTGACGGATTTGAAATATTGTTTGAGTTATAATTTTTTTTTTTATTTTCGCTACAGGGCAAGAGCGTTAGTTGCGTACCACCGAGGTGTGTTTCAAGAGTTATACGCTATATTAGAGGCCCATACGTTCCCGCCAAGACACCACACCGCGCTGCAGAATTTGTGGTTCAAAGCACACTACGACGAGGCTGAGAAGGTTCGAGGACGACCTTTAGGTATACATTCTTCAATCAATAAATTGTTACAATCAGATTAGTTGGCGCGTTGTGATGAATTCGCTAGGAATTAAACATGATGGATTTTAGGGGATCTGGGTGGCGGTCGACCGTATATATTGCTAGCAATAGAGCTGTTATACTCCATTATTAACGATCCATTTTCCTCCACACTGCTAGTCTTCATTACTAACAATTTCTTCTTCCCTCATTAATAAGATAAGCATATATATTTGGCTGGCAGCACATTTGCAATGTCTCTGGTGTTGCGGGTGATCATGGGTGGCCGTAGTCACTTACCATCTCATTATCCAGAAAAATACGCACAACGGCCCAAATTAGAGGCTAAGCGCGGAAAAGAGAGTCCAATTTATATTACATTTTACAGTCACTTACCATCAGGTGAGCCGCATGCTTGTTGGCATCCTTTGTTATAAAAAAAAAAACATATAATTCAACCTTTAAACCGAAAGTATAGCAACTTGATAACAGAAACACGAGTAGGATAGAGATTTAACGACCTTACCATCTATTCTCTTATTATTAAACTCATGTCCATCAATTGTCTTAAAAATAATTTCAACTTTATTTTAGGTGCCGTAGATAAGTATAGATTGAGAAAGAAGTATCCACTACCAAAAACCATTTGGGACGGAGAAGAAACGGTTTACTGTTTTAAAGAGAAGAGCAGGAACGCGTTAAAAGACTGTTATTATAGGAATAGGTATGTTATTGTAATTTCTTTTACATCAGAAGGTATCTTAATTTCTATGTAAATATAATAAGCGTGAATTATTAAAAACGCCATTTGGTGATTGATATTCGCCAAGTTGGTATTGTTCTCTTTTTAAATCTCAGTTTTAACCAACTAGATTTTTTTTTTTTAGTACGTTTGTTCCGTTTGGAACAGGCTAAGGTCGGAGACCATGCTGCCTAGTCTTCAAAAAGATAATTTGTCTGGAATTAACCAATTAGATTTTAGCTGTCAACGTTGATAACCTCAAAAAAGTTTGTTCTCTTTGTTTTATATAAGTATACTCCGTTTATTCTTGTCATAGATTAGGGATAGTACTTGCGGTTCTAGTATTCGTGTATATGTTTTTTTTTTTTTATAAAACGCGCCATTTTGATTATGCAAAAGATTTTTTTTTAATTCATAAAGTCTTTGGCAAGAAAATATCAGTCTAGGCAGTTGCCGCAGTACTTATTAACTTGCAATGTTTTAACAGCTCTGTCTCTGATCTTATTTGCATATCGGCCAAGAATGTTAGGAAAATTCTGATAAAATATATTTTTATATATATTTTTTTATAACATATTTATCATATTAAAGCTATTTACTTGTTTTAGGTATCCAACTCCTGATGAGAAAAGAGCTTTGGCAAAGAAGACGGGGTTGACTCTCACGCAGGTGTCGAACTGGTTCAAGAACAGACGACAAAGGGATCGAACGCCGCAGCAGCCTAATAGATCGTTAGTATCTTCTTCTTCTTGTTTTCTTACTTACTTCTGCGTATCTTATAAGCCGTATTTTGTCATGGAATGGGGCATCCCTTTTCCGTCGGTGTTGTAAGAGGTGACTTAGAGTATTTAATCGTCTAAGGATGGTCAGTAACGTCCCTCTTAAAATATCACTAAAGCGTAACTGCGGTTACCAACTCCTCTGCCAAGCGTGGCAACCATTTATGCGCTTTATTTCTTATGTACCACTTTTAAATAATAATTAAGTTATTAACTTATCTTCTAAATTAATATAATAAAAAATAGATTTGATTTTCTGTCTGTAATAGATAAAGTCGAAAATACTTAACCGATTTTAAAAATTATTTTATTTATCACTCAGCTACATTTTTTTTAATGGGTGGTAATGGAATGGTAACGCTGCCCGCGCTATCGGTATACGTTGGCGAAGCACCAGTGAGGCATGATAGGTGACGATGAAAGCAGGTCAGTTAGCCCATCGTGATGAATTCTACTAGAATTAACCACGATAGTTTACCAGGTGGAACCGCGTGGAGGTCGACCTGATAGGGTATATTGCTAGCAATGGGTCAGTTAGATTGCATTACTAACAATCCCTTTCCCCCCACTCAGTTACATTATCAGTATCAGTAATATGGGCTGTATTTTACTTGATATTTTATTTATTTATTTACTTATCAATCTGTGCAAAGTCGGGGCAGATTGCTAGTGATCTATACGTATCTTAAAGGCGAGATGTAATAGGTATGCGAGTTTATATAAACAAATAAATGGGTGGCCTTGAGACAAAAGCTATAAAACGCCATATTCCTTCCATAACAATGGCCCCTTACAAATGTAATAGGAGACCAAGAAATATTTACGTTAGTTGGTACACCAACTTTGCCTCTTGGCCGGCTGATTATTAACCGACTTTAAAAAAAGAGATTCGCACTTCTACTGCCGTGTTTTTTATTGTGTGCATACCATTATATATTCTTTTTTTTGTGAATTGAAGTGCTTTTTGTTAATCAAAAAGGGGTTTTGTCTTTTTGGTCTTATTTTTAAACTTTTCAAAATGGCATAAAAGTGTAGTAAAAATGGATATAATAAGAATCATCATCATCATCATTTCAGCCGTTAACTGTCCACTGCTGAAGTAAGCCTCCTCCATAAGTGGGGGTGTGCTAGTAGTTGCCAAACTTGGCAGGCGAATTGGTAACCCCGTTTGCACGGGGGGAATGGGATTGTTAGTAATGAGATTTAAAACCTCATTGCTAGCAATATACCCTACCAGGTCGACCTCCACGCGGATCCCCCTGGAAACCATAGTGGTTAATTCTTGTTCAATTGGTTGCTATGGGCCAACTGATCTGCCATCATCCTCACCTGTCACCTTTCACTGGTGCCCCTCCAGCGTATACCGATAGCGCAGGCGGGGTTACCATTCCATCTTCACTCATAAAAAATAAACCCGTTTGCACTTCCGGTATAAGCTGGTGGGGCACCAGTGAGTGATAATAGGTGAGGATGTAAGCAGGTCAGTTGGCCCATCGTGACGAATTCAAAATGAATTAATCAACGTGGTTTCCAAGGGGAACTGCGCGGAGGTCGACTTGATAGGGTATATTGCTAGCAATGGGGATATCAGATCCTCATTACTAACAATCCCTTCCCCCCACCGTAGTTAGGCTTTGGTGATATTTAAAGAAGGACACTGCTGCTCATTATCGACCATCAAAATTCCCTTGGTTACCTCTTGCGTTACCCACGAGAAAGTCTTCCTTTGGTGACTTTGGTGGCCCTTGGTGGCACTTATGATAAAAAAATCTAATCGTCTTGAATGTATATAAGAAATTGTATATATTGAGAGAAAAAAAATACAAACCGAAAAAAAAATACAATCAAATTCAAAAAGTTTTTTTTTAGCTTTATCGGACTCCGCTTCGGAAGCAATAGAATATCTTTTACGTACGTAAATAAATGTATAAGTTTTTGCTGTTACAAAAAAAAATATGGGTTACCATGTGACAAAATTAATTCCCTGAAACGAATCGATCCTTACTGCAGTCACATCGGTCTCTTTCAAATTTCATCATTACGTCCTCTCGCTCGTTAGGTGATCATTAATCAAATGTTCAGTCGATAGATCGATTCCTTTGTTCGCTTATGGTCATTTATGAAAAAAAAAAGTAAACACGTGTGTAAATTAAAAAAAAAAAGTAAGCACATGTACGCTTTAATGTCCACTTCACAGATTTTAGAGAGATTTTTTTTTATCTGTGACGTATAGCTATGTTGTTTTTAACCGACTTTAAAACATGGAGGTTCCCGATTCGGTTGTATTGTTTTACGTTTCTTACCCCATAAATCTGTTAGTTATAAACCGATTTGCAAAATTCTTTTTTCATTCGAAAGGATATATTTATAGATAGGTCTCATAGAAATTTTATCAAAATCGATACATTAGTTTTGTTTTTTTGTCAAAATAATTAGTTTTGGCACACTTTTTTTTTTTATAATGTTCGTTTAAAACTTTCAAATATTAAATCGATTTTTGTTTATGAATAATAACGGAATGATATTCGCGTCTATGATATCTATTTATTTCGGTTTACACTGGCGGGGTACCAATAAATGATGATAGATGATGATGATGAAGTCAATTAGTTGGCTCATTCAGATGGAATTACCGACGAGGGTTTCCGCGGGGGTCGACCTGATAAGCTAGCAATTGGACCACCTATTATTAACCACGATGGTTTCCAGGTGGAACCGCGTGGAGGTCGACCTGATAGGGTATTTTTTTTTGATAGGGAAAAATGGAATGGTAATCCCGCCTGCGCTAACGGTATACGCTGGCGGGGCACCAGTGAAGGGTAATCAATGAAAATGAAAACAGGCCAGTTAGCCCATCATGATGACAGTTTCCAGGGGGAACCCCGTGGATGGTCCACCTGATTCATTACTAACAATCCGTTTTCCCCCGATAGGGTATATTACTAGCAATGGGGTAGTTAGATCCCATTATTGACAATCCCTTTCCCCTAATCTAAATGGCGTTGTATGATGTATCCACGGCTTATATTACTATTGCATGTTTTTCAGAGAAATGCTAGTACCAGCTCAATACGCGGGACCACAAGGCGGTTTGGCCCAGGCTCTGCTGCCGAACGCCTACTACCATCAATTGCAGGATCCCGCACACTACTTGCACAGCGGTGCGCCGTAGTGTTGCCATTTATTAAAAGGTGATTAATTTGGTGTTGTGATTTAATTAGTTTAGAATTTATATTAATGACTTTATGTATCTTGATCACGTTTAATAATTCATGATGAGATCAAATTAGAAATCATGATCAGCTAGTAATGAATCAGTTTGAATGAGTACTATTTGACGGAGGGGTTAAGACACAACGGACACAACCTCTGTCTTACATCTACAGATATGTGTAAACGTGAGATAGAGTCCTTCGGTATTTCTCTCTACTTGCCCCGCATGCAGTGGCGGATTTGCAGTCTTTTTTTTATACAACTTAGAATGACAAACAAGCTGACGGTCCACCTGATGGAAAGTGGTAATCGTCGACTATAGACATGAGCAGTATTATGGATATAACAGAGTATACTGTTTCGCCCATGACACCCCCCATGCGTTGCCATTCCTGAGGACTCAGGTGTTATTCCTCTGTACCCAGTAAATTCGCGCCATATCCCACCCTTCAAACCGAAACACAGCCATGCAAATACAACTGCTTCACGGTTGAAACGCGAATGGGCAGAGGTACCCAAGCAAACGATTTTTGTACAAAGTCTCCCTCTGGTAAAAGTCTTGGCCGTCCTAGGCCCCAGCCCATGTAGTAAGTACCAGCCAGCCTTTTCTCAACACCCATCATATTGAGTACATAGTGAATTTACCTTTTTGCCAACTTTTATCGAAACTGATTCAGAAATTTAGTCAACTATAATATCTGCTAGTTTGTAACAATTTCCGAGGTTTCTTTTAATTATACGTACTTTGAGTTATTTCTTGTTATCACCAGTGAATTTTTTTTCACGATTGGCCGCCGCTAATATCTGGCCGTCCTAGGCCAGGGTTTCCTGGGCCTTAGGGCAAATTCGCCACTGCCCGCATGGGACTTGGCGTAAAGATAGGTAAAATCTTAAAAAATACCCTTATATAAGATTTAATATAAGGATCAAATCTATACTTAATTTTAGTTTCGTGATGTCTTTTATGTTACTTTAATAACTAACTGATTAAAATGTATGTTACTTAAAACTTTTAATAATAAGTTCAATGTTTAGTGATATTTAATCAATAATTATTGATAATATATCGATTGCGTATAATGAAATATATGTAAGGAAAATAACGATTAAAAATTTGTTTAATACCGAGAGAGTTATTATCCGTTTTTAATTAAAAATTATAAAAGCAGGAGAGCAATACTTTTATATTATATATATATATATATATATATATATATATATATATATATATATATATATATATATATATATATATATATATATATATATATATATATATATATATATATGTTAGTAATATCGTTGGTGTAGGTCAGGGGTCGACAACTTGTGGCACGCAAGCTACATGCAGCTCTTTTGTTGTGAAGCTGCGGTTTTTTAGTTCTATCATTATCATCATATCAGCCTTTAACTGTAAGCTGAACATAGTTGTCCTGCTTGGCAGGAGGATTGGCAACCGCAGTTAGGCTTTAAAAATGTTTTAAGAGGGACGCTGCTGCCCATCCCTCGCCCTCCTTTAGTAGTCTCTTACGACACCCACGGAAAAGAAAGACGTGGCCTATACCATACGCAAATAATATTTATTTTATAAAAATGTAAGTACTTACTATTCATTGTCGGCAAGAAAAAATTTTGTGGCTCTTTAAAAACTTTTTAAATTTTGTAAATTGTAATTTTTTACTCTTCCCACTTAAAAGGTTGCCGAGCACAGGCGAGGTTACCATTTCATTGTCATCCATTAAAAAAAAAGGAGTACACTAGTAACTTTGAAGGTGGCAGGGATGTACTCGTTTATAATTTACTTACAACAAAAGTTGTAATTAGTGGATCTTGATTTTTTAGTAATTCCAAAATTGTGATATTCATTTTGCGATGATATTTAAAATTTTGCTCCATTATACCTATCTGGTTACCAACAGGTTTTAATAAATTTATTTTAGATATAGCGTAGTTTAAATGTATTATTATGTATTTGTAAATTTTTTTAAATAATATATATATATATATATATATATATATATATATATATATATATATATATATATATATACATCAAAAAGTATGTTACGTTTCTTCGTTACGAAATTTTTAATTATAAAATATGTGAAAGATAAGTCGAAATCCAATAATGAGACACGAGAAACTGAACAATTATCCTTTATCAATAATGGTTCGAATAGTAAGTTATTCAGTATTCCAATAATTCCTATATGGAAACTAAACTGAACAATTACTCGTGGCATCAATGAATACGGGTCGAATTGAAATTTGAAAGTTATTCAGTTTCTTTTTCTTAGTAATAGAACCTTGAAAGTAAACAATTATCCTTAAGGAATATTGGTCAAAATGTAAATTAATTCATAAAATTAAACAACTATTCTGAATGTTTTATTACTAATTCTATGGGTTTTATTGTAGGTTAAAAGGTATTCAGCGTATACGAATAGGTATAACGCTGAAATTTGTTATATTTTGTTAAAAAAAAAATGCAATCAGCAGCATATTTTTGTAAAGACTAAACGCTAATTATAATACTAATTACTTTAAGAGTTGCAATTTGAATTATTACTTAACGTAAGTATCTTTATACGTTTAATATGAAATATACAAAAATATATTACCTATTTATAATTTGTATGAATTATTTTATGGTCTTTTAAATTCTAATACTATTATATAATTTAATTTATGCCATATTTTGCCATTTACCTCATTTATTTTGTTTTTATTCTAGTGTTTCTAAGTAAGGCATTGTAGATAACATAGATTTAAGTTAATTATTAACTTAAAAAATTAAATAATTTCTTACTAACTCTAGATAATTTAAGATTTAAAAAAAAATTATGATTTAAAAAAAAATCTATAAATAACGTAAGAGAATTAAATTTAGTAGAAAATAAAAATTTAATCTTGGATTATATTACATTTATGTATAGTTCGCCTTGAAAAATTATGTTTCAAAATAAAACCTATTAAATATCTATTAATAAGAAAAAAACTGAAAAAAGCTACTGTTTATGTCCATAGTTATAATATTTTCTCTTTGATGATGGAAAAGCATACCAAATTAATCTAACAGGCTTGTCATAACTTGCTTTCATAAATACATACACAGACAGACGAAAGGATTTGGTAAAGATCGAAGCATTTGGCGTTCCATTGTTTCTGTCTACCCTAATGGGAGATAGGCGTGACAGATTATATATATATATATATATATATATATATATATATATATATATATATATATATGTCTATAATTAATTAATACAAACATCTAATACACTTAGCCGGCTGTTTTATAAAATTTCTTTTCTATTTTGTTTTCAATTTAAAAGAAATAAAATGTTATAGGTAATGAGTTTGTGGGATTTTTTTTATGAGATTTTTTTTTATTTTATTAAAGTCAACAAACAGTAATACAATACATATAATTATAATAAGATTACATTTAAATGTGATTAAAAGTACTTACTACAAACAACGTTAACTACAGATTGCTACATAAAGAAAGAAAGTATATAAACATGCAAATATTGCCGAGAGATGGAGCTGCCCATTATATCTATTAAATGATAAATATATACAATATTATAATAATGGAGACTGTAGATAAGACATATCGGTGTAAATATATATCAATAAGGTGCTGTTTATGTTTAAAGCCATTATGTTCTAGTCTAAAAGCGAAATAAAGTTCTATAAGAATTATATTGCATTTTTTTTCCTTTGAATACCTAAGTAAAGGGGGGAAAGGGATTGTTAGTAATGGAGTTTGACAGCCCAATTGCTAGAAATATGCCTTATTAGGTCGACCTCCACGTGGTTTCCCCTGGAAACCATCGTGAACAATTCTTGTTGAATTTGTCACGATGCGCTAACTGACCTACATCATCCGCACCTATCATCCTTCATTGGTGCCCCGCCGGTGTATACCGATAGCGCGAGTGGGGTTACCATTCCATTATCATCCATTAAAAAAAAACCTTAGTAAATACCTATCTATGGGGGGAAAGGGTTGTTAGTAATGGAGACTGAGCCTCCAGCGACTGAGAGAGACTGAGCAGAGACTGACCAATATACCCAACCAGGTCGACCTCCTCGCGGTTCTCCCTGGAAACTATCATGGGTAATTTCTGATGAATTCATCATTATGGGCTAACTGGCCTGTTTTCATTCTCATCTATCACCCTTCACTGGTGCTCCGCCAGCGTATCCCATTAGCGCAGGCGGGGTTACCATACCATTTTCACCTATCAAAAAAAAATACCTATCTATATAAAGGGACTATTGGTGAAGTGGGCTGACGGTTTCATTGCTAACAACATACCATAATAAGTTGATATCCACGTGATTCCTTTGAAAAGTATAATGACAATTGCTAGCGAGTCTATCACGGTGGGCTAACTTTTTTCAAGGAACTTTCTTTCACCCACAACCACTCTTTGGAATCAACTTCCATCAGCAGTATTTCCGAACCGATACGAGATCATAACGTAACAGAACTTAAAGAAAAGAGCATATTCCTTTTTTAAAGGCCGTCAGCACACTTGCTATGCCTTTGGTGTTGTGGATGATCATGGGTCGCGGTAGTCACTTACCATCACGTGAGTCGCATGCTCGTTTGACCCCTGTGTTATAAAAAAAAAACTAATCAGGTCCTCTAGACAAGTGGCAAGCAAATTCATCGATAGGATCGACATCGCTAACGAGTTCGTGAGTTGGAATGAGATATCTGACGTTGCTGTCTCATTCTATCGTATGTAAATTCGCTTGCCATTTTTCTCGAATTTTCTCCCCCGAACACTTAGGCTGTGGAATGAGAGGAGCTCATTGCCGAGGTTTTTCGTATAGACTACGGTATGCGATCCTTCAAAAAGGGTGTATTAAGATTACTTCAGGGTCGGCAAAACGCACGTGACACCCTTTGTGTTGCAGGCATCCATAGGTTACAGTAACCGTTTACCATCATACGGGCTGTATGCGTGTTTGCCAGGTTCGTAGTAAAAAAAAAAATCGTGCCGTTCAGCATTAACATGAGAAAGAAAAAGTGTACTTTTACTTTGTATAGCAAGATTTGTACTTTGTCTAGGGTGGCTTCTTAATTAATGGTAATGGAGTGGTAAACCCGCCTATGCTATCGGTATATGCTGACGGGGCTCCGTTGATAATAGGTGAGAATGAGAATCTCCTACATTCTTCACATTACATTAAGAGACTACCGACTAAACCGTCTTTCAAAAAAAGCATTCACGCTCACTTTTTATCTTTATCCAAGCAGTAAGTGCTTTACATGATCAGTAGTGCCCTTTATTGTATTAGAATCGTGTTATTAAGATTTAAAAAAATAAAAAATATACAATTTACCTTCTACTCCTTAATACAAAACTAAAGTATTTTTTATTTATTTCATCGTCAATGGCCATCTAATATAGAATTATTAGCGTCGAATTTTTTAATTATCATATTTTACGTACAATACAATAGTGTTACCACTGTCAGTCAACTGTCAGTTTGGGCCAATGTCTAACTCAAATGTCACATTTTGGATTTGACATTGCGTTCTAAACGAAAATATTATTCTATAATTTTTCTTTGTTTGTCGTGGACAAACAATTATTAATTATTTTGCTTTATGTACAAATGATCTCAAGTTTATTAATGATATTAGGACATTAGTATAATTAATTAACTGTATCAGTTTCTTTCGAGCTTCGCACATGACGCAATAGCGAAAGGTGACCAAAAATGAGTGATACAAAGTCATTTATAAATTTCTCCTGCCAACGATGTTTGCAGCCTTTGAAGCTGGATGAGTCTCTGAATAACCTAGGTGAGCATACCATAGCTGATTTGACTTTACAAATACGAAGGAACAACGAGGCAGACCTTGATTTACAGTCGTCGAGTTTGGAACATTATGTGCCGCCTTTTCGGATGTCTGAGTCTGGAAATGGCACTAATGGCTTTATGGTTATTTCTGACGGATGGGAAACTACATCTTTAGGTCACCAACTGCATGTAAAAGCTACTCTATTCGACTTGCTGTCTAACAATTCGGATGTCGACCATCCATTGTGTGATGAATGTACTGATACGTTATTAGAATTAATGGATAATCAGTTGAAGCAAACGGAAGCCGAGTGGAAGGATTACAGTGATTATTTGAAGAAGTTAGAAGATGATAAAGAGGATTTGAATTTAGAGGGATTGGAGAAAGAACTGGACGATTGGAGACAGGAGCAAACTAGATTATTGCAAGAGTTGTCTGCACTGCAGAAAGAGGAGAAGGCTATGAATGACGAGATAGAAGTGCAGGAAAAAGAGAAAGAAAGGTTGGAGAAGGAGCAAGATGTCTATTGGAAAGAGTATACTCGTCATCGGAAAGAGCTGATGACAACAGAAGATCAAATGAAGTTTTATGAATGCCAGCTGGCATACACTCAGTCGCAGTTGGAGAAATTGAAGAAGATGAATGTCTTCAAAGCAACATTCCACATTTCTGATTCAGGACAGTTTGGTATAATAAATAACTTTAGACTTGGACGTTTACCAACTGCTCCAGTAGACTGGTCAGAAATTAATGCAGCTTGGGGTCAGACTGTTCTGTTGCTGTCTTCGTTAGCACGGAAGATCAATTTCATGTTCCAGCGTTATCGTTTAGTGCCATATGGCAATCATTCGTACATTGAAGTTATAGAAGATCAAAAAGTTTTGCCATTGTATGGGTCGGGAGGTTTTCGATTCTTGTGGGACACGAAATTTGATGCTGCAATGGTAGCGTTCTTGGATTGTCTCCAGCAGTTTAAAGAACAAGTGGAGAAAGGAAATACAGGGTTTTGTTTGCCATATAGAATAGACAAAGGAAAGATAGAAGACACTGCATCACCACCACACGCCTATTCTATCAAAATACAGTTTAATTCTGAAGAACATTGGACCAAAGCTCTCAAGTACATGTTAACAAACTTAAAGTGGGCTTTAACATGGATATCATCACAATTTAGTGAAGACAGAATTGAAAACTAGATATAATTTTTGTCTGTGATATTTGTTTACTTCATATTGTTGAAGATAGCATTTTAAAAACAGTAATACCTCGTACTTATGCATAGGTAGCACTGAACAACAATCCCATAAGTTGGGATATAATCATTAACGCGTATCTGTGAGATCCTGGCTCCTAGTAATGCATCCATTTAAAGTGACATGTTCTGATATGCACATTAGCTTAATAATGTGGATAAAATGTGAGTAATCTAGGTTTGTGTGACATTTAAACAATAAAATCGATGAGTTTTGAAGATTGCGTATTTCTGGATCCATGTAAGTCTGCATAGCATAAGTTGAGGTATTATTGTAATAATATTTATTCCTTTAGAAAAAACATAAATGCAAAATATAATATTTACAGTTATTTCAAATAGATTAGAATCATACTGTAACATCCATGGTACCATTACACACATTTCTATTCCTGAGGACTAAGGTGTTATTTTTCCATATCCTATAAAGTTCCAGTGAACAATATTGATCAAACTGCTACAGTGAAGTTTAGAAACAGCCATGGAAATTCCCTCTCCTAATATTAGTATATAAATGAATGACTATTATTTACATGTCACTCATTTAAGTATTTACCTCATTTTATGTGATAATATCCTTTGATTCTGTTAATGTTATATTTTAGTATTGGAGTATTTTTTGCCATTTATTAGCTAATTCATATACTCATAGCCTATTCCTATATGATTTTAAATATCTTGGCATGGATTTTTATTAAAATAAACAGTAAATAAAATAAACAAATAAAATAAAAAGAATTGTATAAATTAAACAAACGTACAAGAATTATTGATTTGTTTTTGGCATTTTTATTATTAAACGACTGAATTATTAATAGAAAGACATGCTAGGATGATTTATGGTTTGTTTTAAATAAAAACATCTAACCATTTCAATATTTCATTTTGATTTAGATACACTCATATTTTGTAATTTTGTTTTTATAAATATATTAAACTTTTTTTTTGTTCAAAATATGATGTGAAATCTGTGTATGACTAGTGTTTTTTGCTCAGATTTGTTATGGAAATAATAAATGTATTAAAATAAAAAATAGTACATTATTTCAATAACGCCATCTAATCTTTTCCCTCATTACAGCTTAGTGGTAAGAAAATTTGTAATGTAGTTTCATATAGTCTTTATAGATGGCGCTGTATCGAAATTGGTTCATGGACGCAGTACTATAAATAAAAAATTGTCTAGATTGTTATTATAGAATAGTAATTTTGCTAAAATCAAAGTCTAAAGTAAATTTAGTAAAAGTCACAGGATACAGCTAGTTGTGATAACGTCACACGGGTAAAGAACGAGATGTTTCGTAGATATTCTACACTGGAAATATTTGAATTTGGAACGCGGTAACTCGTATTTACCTACATGTAGATTTTGCTATGAAACAGTTTATTACTCCGCTAAGAATAATAACTACAATCACCACAAAATTAATATGTGATGGTGAAATGGTGATCCTACGCGTATATAAGTCCTAACAAGTACAAAAAGAATTGTAAAAATTGGTTATCGATTAGCGACCTATAAAAATTATGAATTGTCAATTTTTCTTTTGAAAGTGGTTTAAAATATATTTAAGAATGTATTTAGGTACATATAAAATAAATTAATTTAAAATATCACGAGTAAGGTAAATTTGTTGTAAGAATAAATGACTCACCAAATGTTATCAAGCAAGTTAGGGTTTTTTAATGGATGATAATGAAATGGCCATCTCACCTGCGCTAGTGGTATACTCTGGCGGGGCACCAACGTGAGGAATTAACTTGGAATTAAACATGATGGTTTTTAGAGGGGACCGCGAGAAGGTCGATCTGACAGGGTGTATTGTTACCAATAGAGAAGCTAGAACTTATTACTAACAATTGTTTCCCTCACAAGAAAGGATGTTTCAGATAAAAAAAAAAAAAACAAATTTTCGTGCTTGTCAATTGTTTAGTGAATAACTGCTACCAGTCGTTCAACGGACAAGTTGAAGCGGAACGATTGAACCCGAGTTGTCATATAATCGTTCGGCCAAAGGCATTAAACCACTGTTTCTTCTTTACACTGTGATAGTAATATGTATGTTATGTATAAATCATGTGCCTACCTATAAAAAAAGATAAAAAGGTCTCGCCCCCGGTTTCCATTTTAACCACTCGGATGTGACGTCACAGCTCCACTCTTTGTGACAAAGGTATTTACATCGCTCCCTTTGATTACAGGGAAAGCGGAGCTAAAACGTTGCAAGCAATCTTGTTACATAGGTAGAGCGTTTTATATGATACAATAAGTAGATTTTGTTCCAAGAAAAATAGCGAATAAATAAATATTTGACCACCGAGCAAGTAAATGTCAACATATTTACTAGCATAGATAAAAGAGACCTATTTGTATTTATTACTTTATCTATGCGAGCATACGCTTGTCAATACTTACTAGCAATCTTACTGTTCTTATTTTAAAATTAAAATTATTAAAATGCTCTGAAGAACGCGATTTTGAATTTAGAACGCGGAGTTGGATATTTCTAAGTAGATTTTATTTCGCAATAAGAAGTTTTTTTTTGCTTTGTAAATAAAAACGGCAGCTTCAATTTCACAAAATTAAACCGGAACGAACATGAGATGGGAATGAACCGTATCAATTGCAAAAATAAAATATCAAGATCGGTTTACAAATGGCGATGTGATTGACATATAGATAAAAATAGACAGAATTTCCTCCTTTTGAAGTTTTATTACGTAAGAATTATTTTGCTAAAGCTAACTTTGTTGTTCTGAACAAATTTCATTAAGAGGATTCTAGTCTGGTATAAATATAAATACAGGGGATGGTTTGTGGGAATATGGGCTCACATTTTTTTGTAAATTTTTTATATCTGTAGGTGATGGTTACTAGTTTCCATCTGGTGGGACGTTAACTTGTTCACCATTCTAAATTGCATAACAAAGGTAAAAATAATGAAATCTTACATCATCATCATATCAGCAATGGCTGAACAGTTAATGAACTGTCCTCTGCTGAACATAGACCTCCCCTATAAGAGGGATTTTGCTATTAGTGGCCACGCTTGGCAGGCGGGTTAGCAACTGCAGTTAGTTTTTTTTTTGATGGGTGAAAATGGTATGGTAACCCCGCCTGCGCTAACGGGATACGCTGACGGAGCACCAGTGAAGGGTGATAGATGAGAATGAAAACAGGCCAGTTAGCCCATCATGATGAATACATCAGGAATTAACCATGATAGTTTCCAGGGAGAACCGCGAGGAGGTCAACCTGGTTGGGTATATTGCTAGCAATGGGACTTTCAGTCTCCATTACTAACAATCCCTTTCCCCCTACCGCAGTTAGTTTCGGTGATGTTTTAAGAAAGACGCTAGTGCCCATCCATCGACCATTGAGTATCATTAGATACTCATAAGAAGGGAAGGGGTGGTCCATTCTATGCCGGCACCACACGGCAATATGGCTCAGTGAATTGTAGACATGTCCATTGCCAATAGTGCGCAATAGTCATGAAATGCCTCTTGTCAACCCCTTAAGAGAATACAGCCGTGATCGTATTGAATTATTTTACTGCATTATTGTTGCTCTCTCTTTGTTCTATCTTGTATAGTAGTTACAACTTCTAAGTTAGAGTTGGGATTAAAAATTTTATATTATAACCGTTGCAGCTTGCAGTCAGTTAAACTTCCATGCTCTCCAGATCCTAGTTACCACAGTTGGCAGCACGTGTTTCCTGTTAAACTTTGAGGATTAAAACCTTCTTATAAACTCCTCTAAGATGGTCTTATGAATCTGGCAGTAGTGTTGTTTAATAAATGGATACCGATTATTTATCGAATAATCTAACAATTGACACGATATAATCGATTATAAACAATATTTTATTTGAAATAACAATTACACAGTAGTAGCAGTATTTAAAAAAAAATGATATTGGATGCCATCGACTAGTTGATATAATGTGTCTTTTTTTTATACAACTTATAATGGCTAAAGTGATGATGATGATGATGATGTTTTTTTTTATACAACTTAGAATGGCAAACAAGCTGATGGCCCACCTGATGGAAAGTGGTGACCGTCGCCTATAGACATGAGCAGTACCATGGACATAACAGAGTATACTGTTTCGCCCATGATACCCCCCATGCGTTGCCATTCCTGAGGACTCAGCTGTTATTCCTCTGTACCCAGTAAATTCACGTCTATAAAGAACCGTCAGTATTCTATGACTATGACGATATAATCGTATATATTTAACATAACACACGTAAATAGAATACAGATTGACTGAGAACTTCCCCTTTTTTTAAATCGAGTAAAATCTTTAAAATCGATTTCAATTTTATCAATGTTCTTTTCCTTTTGCTTAAGTCATGCATAATTTACCCACCGAATTAATTAAAACGGTGGTTGTGCCAATGTTAAAGAATAGAATGGGAGATATCTCGGGCTGTAACAATTATAGACCTATATCACTGGCAACTATTATGTCTAAGGTATTGGACACTTTGTTTGACTTATATCAAAGAACTTAATAAAAAGGTAATCAAGTTCTTTTTTTTTTTAAATAATAACGGAAACATTCTTAAAATGAAATTAGTAACAGGTGGAAACATTCAATCAAAAATCGAGTTTTGATTGGTTTACTTGTATAGTGTTCGGGTACTTGTTATTATTGAACATCGACGAACTGTTTTATGGTCGAGTCAATTATTCGTAAGTTAATGATTTCATTTAAGTTCTATTGAAATAAAATATACGTAACTAAGTAAAGAAATAAGTAATAATAATAAAAGTAAAACTAATATAAAGATGGCATTGTTTTAGTTACTATATATAATAGAATATTAAGTATCATAAATATCTAATGATTATTTGAATAGGGAGAACTGTTTACTTACATCATTAATGTGTAATGGTCAATAAAAAGACAATAGACGAAAACGAGACAATAGTGTTGTAACAAAATTAGTCGATTTAAATGCAAAGAATAGTGTAATCGAGTTAAAATTGACGCTACAAAACTTCACAAGATACTTATCTTTTCTTAGTCCTTTGTTTCTGACATTTTTTAAACTTTAATTTGACAGGATCTGAACCTGGAGGGCGTTTCCAATAATAGTAATAACCAGAAATTGCACGATATTTGCGATCTGCATCTATTTTACACATGTTTTGTGTTTACCTAAAAAAATTACGAATGAACTTTGGTGCTGCTCCTGCTGAGCGATTTAGGAACTAAAATTATGAATTAGATCATAGTCATTAGTCAGTATTTAGCCCATAAACTGAGTGTAACGCAATTATATTCTTCATAATCTAAGAATCTAAGATGTAGCCTATTTAAAGATTAGAAAGAAATCGTGCTACTTAAATACTTTAACAATTAGTTATCGATCGCAAAATTTTTGCTATTACAGGGAATTACTTCCTGGATTTCTCAGCTATTCTGAGATTGAAGATAATTATCTGGCCTCTTTTGAATGTCAGTAAGCCTCGCGTAGGCGTCTTCTATTTGTTGTTTACATTCTAACTTTAAATTTGCATTTCAGCAACTTTTTTTATTACAATAATCCTTTCCAATAATTTGATAGCGTGACTGACGTCTATTCTTCTATTTTGGTATTAATTTGACTTCTTTGTCAGACAAAAGACAATGACAAACGTCCACGTACCTAAGTAGTTTCAGGTGGTCTGCACTCTGCAAACGATAAATC